TCGCTTCGCGTACTGCGGCGTTAAAACAGCAGTTAACAAAACATCAAGCCAAAACAAGGGTCGTTTTTGTTGCGGAGAAGGAGAGCGAACGGGATCTCGAAACGGCGGTTCTTTTGCTCGCCACTCAGTTTATGCGGCACCCACTTATCGAGCTTCTTCGACTTCCCAATCTCGCGCATATGGCTGGAAACCGCTCCAATCGATACATTCAGTTCAGTAGAGATAACGTTCAGGATCATGCGAGGATTCGCTTCGACCATTGCTTTCAATTCATCGTTATCAACATCCGATGGATTACCTCCTTCGAGACTCTCGTCGCCGTTACGGAATTTCCTGAACCATCGCTGTGCGGTACGTTCATTTGTTGTTCCAGGACCAAACGCTATGTTGATGTCTCGAGCCGTGTCCTCTGCATTCCTGCCTAGTTTGAATTGAAAAAGGAAGATGGTCCGAATTTGTCGTTTGTCCATGTTGTTTCCAGGCTTCTGCAAAAGCTAGGAAGTCAGTATGAGACAAAGCTAATACAATAGTCAGAAGAAGCGAGAAATGCGCTTTCAAGTGGTATACTATACTATAGCAGAATAACAAAAAATAACCTAGAGAAGAACGTCTGAAAATAGACTATCCAAAAACGACAGAACTTTCTCAAACACCTAATAAGTAGTTGGTACACAAGGTGCCGGCCCTCTTCACTCCCTAAGCGCGAGAAGCCGTGGTAGTCGTCCTCGTCTTCAGCTCCATCGGGGAGCCCCGGCAGTGTCGAATCATTGAGGATTACGTCGTTCTCGCGAGCCCACTGTGTGACGCGGTTCCAGTTTGATGACGCCTGAGGAGCCCGCAAATTGCCCAATACAAATTCACCATAGCGGCAGCGCGTAATTGCGACGTCAAGGCGTCTCCTATCATTTAAAAATTCTCCTGTCGAAGCGTCTACGTCAGAACGTGTCGTGAGAATGATAACATTATCCATTTCACGGCCTTGGACCGTGTCGACGGTGTGCAAGGCATCTCCTAATCGACGGGTTTCTGGTTGCAGAAAGCACTTCTGATCCTTATAGTAGGTAACCATTTCTATACCCGATCCAGGGAAATCCTTAGCCAGTAACGCACACATCAGATCTACGCAGCATCGTGCCTCCTCCTCGTTAGAGTGAGATTGGGACGCTGATATTTCGACGAACCACTAACGTTGACAGCTCGAAGTGAATGCGCGGATTAGGAAGGGTGATGCGCCTCACCAGAAGCGCGCGGTCCGAGGCCCGTTCCGCTAACGAGTGCTCTATTGTAGACGAGACGATTCGGAAGAGAGTTGAGAGATGGGTGAGCTCTACAGTGGTCACTAGTGGCGCGAGGGGAACATCCCTATCTAGTAAAATATCTATGATACCTCTTGCTCCGAGCCGCGTCAGCAGCGACGAAGCGGGACAGAGAAGGTGAGGTGCCAACTGGTGTATGTCGCCAAGGTAGATGTGACGAGCAGCTGGGAATCGCGAGACCATAGCGGCGAAAGCCGGCTCCGGGATTTGCGAGGCCTCGTTCCCGATGATGATCTTGCAGCTTGCAAGCAGTTCGTGGAAGAGGCTGCCTGGACGCGTCGATTTGAGGGCGATGATACCGTTATACAGAGTATGGCGGGGAATCGCACATGTATCATAAGCCCCACCGCGTATTCCGTGACCTCGAAGTTTCCGTCCTCAGCAATCCGGAACTTCACGCGTTCCTCATCGGAGAGATGAACTGTGTCCTCACTATTAAAGAGTAGTTTTTCAATCAGCCGTTGGGTGAGCATATGCGTTCAGGCGTTCAACGTCTTTTGGACTAAATGCGTCAGGAAAAATGGTCAGAAGACTCTGGGGTATGTTGCGCAGATGAACACTGGTCAGAAGACCTTGAAGTATATTGTGCAGATAGACTGTTGTGACCTGCGCTCCTTCACATAGGGCTGTGGAACACAGAAGCGTATGGAGCATGATACGTTCGTGCGCACCAGGCCGAGTAGCTAGTGTTACGTTCGACATCGTCAATTTCGAAATTGCAATGTCGGAAGTACGCGTACTGCTTCAGGACATCCTTCAAACGCGACGTGGATGTTGTTAAAGTGGACCAAACTGCCGTCGTCGGTGGACTGCGAGCACGACACCTAAGAGGTGGTGTTCTGCTTGGCGACAACTTGGTACAGGACCGTATGACGTTCTTCGCCTGGTGGAGGTGCCAAGGAGGATGCGGGTTTGACACCATCGGAGGTCGACGGCGTGGCGTACGCCGGATGTCGTCGGTGTCGTCTTGGAAGCTAGCGTTGAGCAAGTCGTCGATTAGTTGAATCGCGTGCTGCCAGAAAGCGTTAATATCCTCAAACTGCACTGACTCCGTTACCGGCACCGGGTTCGTTGGAGAAGGTAATCCCACGAAGCGACGAGGGAAAAGTAAGCGGACGAAGCGGCTCGAGAAGTGACCATTCCGGAGAATTTGGTGGTAAACGTGGAGAGGGAGAGCCGCTGTTAGTTCGTTTTCTCTTGATCTGAGTGCACGTCGACGGGGTGTCACGTATTGGCCCCACGGATGGAGATCGGCGAATGGACATGTATAGTCGTCTGGAGTGTCGACCCAGCGTGGTGGAAAGGCGGGAAGGTCGAATGCCCTGCTGAAGGGTCTGTTCTGGTCGTACGCGTTCAGGTGGCGTAGCACCGATGAAGAAGAAGCTCATGGGTTGGGACGTGGTGCCATTGGATCGCGGAAGGTGGGAAAAGCGTCAGAATGGTAGCGTATGCGTGACGACGATATTGTTACCGATGTTAAAGATGATGGTGCGGGTGTGCTTGTGTACCCCTCGGTTGTAGTGATAGACGTTCCAGCTCTGTGGGTTTTGCAAGAAGAGGGAGTAAAAATATCAAAAAGGTTATCTTGTGGGTAGCTGGGAGAAGGCTTACCAAGCTCGAGGTTTGCCTCCCTAGAAGAGGAGGTGCTGCCCACAACGCATGGTCAAGATTGAAGTCGGAGAGCAACTCACGTGGAGAAGCGTTGATGGTGCCGTTATTCGACGATGTGTTAGAGGTGGTATCGGTCCGAGAAGCGGTTGTGTTGGGTGAGGAGGGTGGTCACCTGCTTCAGATGCAATTGCCAAGTCATCTTCCATTGGGGTAGGCTCGGTGGACAAAGATTGAGCGGACGTGTTTGGATTTTGTCAGATGAGCTCATTACGCATTGTTCTGCAACATTGTAGGTCGAGATATGACTCTGAGGTACCGGAAGGCGCGGATTCCGACACGACGAAGAGGACGACATACACCCGAGGTGATTTCGACGAAAGAAAGGAGAGTGGACGTCGATTGTGAAAAGGAGGAGGGAAGGGAGGGCTCCTGTTGAAGCGCGCAATTCCGAGATTCAGCAAGATTTTAGTCGTTCCCTATAACGAGTATTATAGTTTTGGGATCGTTTTGATATTTGAGGCCGGCGGAGCACGTCTGCCGAGGCTGGATCGGCGTGAGAATATCCTACCACAGCTACTGAGGGAGCATCGGTTGAGGCAAAAATATTTTGTTCTTTGTCGGTCTACCATGGTGTGGTGAAAACGGGACCCGATACGACAAAGCACTTCCTAATTTGATTCATATATACCTTCCTCGGTTCGGACTGGGTGGCCGAAATACTAAGATGGTAGTGTGCGGATGATTGACCCAATAACACGAAACTCTACTACCCAGGGATTACACAGCATGGTGGAAAGAATATGCTATTGAATAAGCTCAGTGTCCATGTGGGGGTTCCTTGATGATTCAGTACTTTGAATGAGGCACCTCAAACCCTGCCTCATGAAAACTTCCGCCAATTTCGCCAGTTCGATTGCTTCGATCATGTCAGATCTGTTCTTTGCGCATGATTTGTCTTCTCGAGGAGGAGCGACTGCGATCACCTTTGTACCTGTACGAACTGCCGTGGCGAGTGACGTCGCGAGTTTGTACCATTCGCATATGGCAATGAGCTCATCTGTCGTCGGACCGACCGCTACGCAAATGCAAGCTACAGAGCTCTCCAGAAGTCTTCCGATTTCGTTAAGCGTACCATACAACCGGCGTTCTACATCTGGACTTTCCGAAAAGGCGTTACTGCAGGCGCGGAATTCGTTGGGCAGTATCATTGGAATCTTGATGCGTTCACATCTGACCATTTCGTGCCAATCGTTGACCTTGGCGTACAGAACACTATCGTTCGTAACCTGGTTGAGTTCTTCCAACGGTAGGCCATTTCCGTCGTCGTACGTGAGACATAGTAATGAACCGTCATGGAGAGTCGAAGGTCGAAATACGTGGTCACAATACTTCTTATAGAATAGATACGCCTTCTGCACACCTGTAATGCTAATGCTACAACATTCCGAATCTAACGTCAGAAACTGCCTGCGCTCTTCGCCTCTCTTGTTTTCCTTTTGCTTCTGATGCTGTCGGGGCGACGACTTTGAATGCCTTCTCTCGGACAGGGCCCGAGTATACATATCCATCGTCATCCTGCCATACTTTCCTGGACAGCGAAAAAATAGACTGAGCGGGCATGTATCGTCGCCGTTCGTCGTAGCGCCGCGAACAACAGTGCTAACTTTTGCCTGACGCCGTTTATTTCTTCTTGTTGTGGTTACTCTTGATGGACGTTCAACTTCGATCGGGTCTACAATAAGCGCATCAAATGGAATTCAAATGGATTCTTCCTTCTCATTAATATCAGACCAGTTGGGCTATGTACGCTAACGCGTGCGTCTCATTAATTAATCGATCAGTTGATCTGGGTACGCAGCGCTGCGATTATGTAGTCAAAAGCAGCATTCGACATAGAAGTTACTTTAATGCTTGGCTCACAGAAGTTTACTCCGTAGGAAGGTAAAAGGAGCTCATTCTATCGCTGCTAACAGTTGGAT